AGAGAGAGAGAGAGAAAGAGAAAGAGAAAGAGAGAACAACAACAACAGCATCATAAAACGAAGAGAGACACCCACCACAAAAGAAACGGAGAACAAGAGAGGGAAATTGAATAAGAAGAAAATAACTCGAGTTAAATGACGGAATAAACAGATAACTAGGAACTAACAGACAAAGAAACGCAACCAGTATTAAGTATGAATACCAGACCACAGTGCTACCGAGAACTACTGTTACCAGGACTTAGCGAAAATTTACTCCTCTGTCAATACCGTGTCATTTCGTGTGGTTAATCGTGACACAGTTTCCAAATAAAATCTTAACATAATAACAAGTCTGTTTAGGTTTTTTAGTTACCTTGGGCTACAGGAAAGAGGAAAAGGAAAAAAAGGGAATAAAATTGATATCTAATATGCGAACTTACACAGATGATGGATCATTCAAGTCTCATTTCTATCGCTCATCTCAATCTCAACATGAAAGATTAAAATAAGGAGAAAAATCAAAGGAAAAAACAGTAAAGAAGAGGAACTGACAAGGAGAGAACTAAAGAAGAGAAACTGACAAGGAGAAATATAAAGAAGAGGAACTGACAAGAAGAGAAATAAAGAAGAGGAACTGACAAGAGAGAAAATAAAGAAGAGGACACTGACAAGGGAGAGAAATAAAGAAGAGGAACTGATAAGAAGAGAAAGAATAAAGAAGAAACTGACAAGGAGAGAAATAAAGAAGAGACCTAACAAGAAGAGAAATAAAGAAGAGGAAGACAAGAAGATGAAATAGAAGAAGATTGAACTGACACAGGAAGAAAAAAAGAAGAGAGACAGAATGGAGAGAAATAAAGAAAGGACACTGACAAGAAGAGAAATAAAGAAGAGGACCTAAACAAGGAGAGAAAATAAAGAAGATAACTGACAAGAAGAGAAATAAAGAAGAGGAACCCTAACAAGGAGAGAAATAAAGAAGATGAACTGACAAGAAGAGAAATAAAGAAGAGGAACTGACAAGAAGAGAAATAAAGAAGAGGACAAGAAGAGAAATATGACAAGATGAGAAATAAAGAGAGACACTTAACAAGGAGAGAAATAAAGAAGATGAACTGACAAGAAGAGAAATAAAGAAGAGGACCTAACAAGGAGAGAAATAAAGAAGATGAACTGACAAAGAAAATAAAGCACAGAGAGAAATAAGAAGATAAAGAAGAGGAACTGACAGAGAGAATAAAGACTGAGAGAAAAGAAAGAAGAGAAACCAAGAGAAACCTAACAAGATTGAACTGCAAAGACAGAGAAACACTAAAGAAGAGCGACCTAACAAGGATGACGAAATAAAGAAGCACGAAACTGACAAGATGAGAAAATAAAGAAGAGGAACTGACAAAGAGAGAAATGAACTGACAAGAAGAGAAATAAAGAAGAGGAACTGACAAGATGAGAAATAAAGAAGAGAAACTGACAAGAAGAAACATTAAAAAGAGAACTGAGAGAGAACTGACAAGACTGAAAAGAGAAATAAAGAAGAGAACTCAAGACTGACAAAGAGAAATAAAGAAGAGAACTTGAGAAGAGAAATAAAAAGAAGAATAACAAGAGAAGAAATAAAGAAGATGAACTGACAAGAAGAGAAATAAAGAAGATGAACTGACAAGGAGAGAAATAAAGAAGAGGAACTGACAAGGAGAGAAATAAAGAAGAGGAACTGACAAGATGAGAACTAAAGAAGAGGAACTGACAAGGAGAGAAATAAAGAAGAGGACCTAAGATGAGAAATAAAGAAGAGAAACTAACAAGAAGAGAAATAAAGCAAGAGGACCTAACAAGGAGAGACAATAAGAAGCAGGAACTGACAAGAGAGAAATAAAGAAGAGGACCTAACAAGGAGAGAAACAAAGAAGAGGAACTGACAAGGAGAGAAATAAAGAAGAGGACCTAACAAGAAGAGAAATAAAGAAGAGGAACTGACAAGAGAGAAATAAAGAAGAGAAACAAGAGAAAATAAAGAAGAGGAACTGACAAGGAGAGAAATAAAGAAGAGAAACTGACAAGGAGAGAAATAAAGAATGACAAGGAGAGAAATAAAGAAGAGGAACTAACAAGATGAGAAATAAAGAAGAGGAACTGACAAGAAGAGAAACTAAAGAGAGGAACTGAAAGAAGAAATAAAGAAGAGAAACTGACAAGAAGAGAAATAAAGAAGAGAAACTAACAAGGAGAGAAATAAAGAAGAGGAACTGACAAGGAGAGAAATAAAGCAAGAGAGGAGATAACCCGGGCTTTCCTCGCTTAGAAAGAAGATCAGAATGAAGACGAGATGTGCTAATAATAAATTGTGGGAAATACGCTTTCGTCCATTCATGGTGCACAGAGCTCGGCGCTGCTTGCTCATGGACCTTTACGCACGCATGTGTGTGTGAGAGAGAGAGAATTTGATTGTGTGTGTGTATGTGTGTGTGTGTGTGTGTGTGTGTGTGTGTGTGTGTGTGTGTGTGTGTGTGTGTGTGTGTGTGTTGTGTGTGTGAGAGAAAATTTGATTGTGTCTGTGTTGTGTTGTGTGTGTGTGGTGTGTGTGTGTGTGTGTGATGTGTGTGTGGAGTGTGTGTGTGTATGGGTTCGTGGTTGTGGTGAGAGCAATTTGATGTGTGTGTGTGTATGTGTGTGTGTGTTGTGTGTGTGTGTGTGTGTGTGTGGTGTGTGAGAGAATTTGATTGTGTGTGTTGTGGTGTGTTGTGTGTGTGTGTGGTGAGTGTGTGCAACTTCTGTGTGTGAGAGAAATTGGTGTGTGTGTGTGGTTGTGTATGTGTGTGTCTGTGTAGAGAATTTGTGCTCCATTGTGTGTATGTGTGTGTGTGTGTTGTGTTTGTGTGTGTGCTGTGTTTGTTGTGTGTGTGTATGTGTGTGTGTGTGTGTGAGAGAATTTGATTGTGTGTGTGTGTGTGTGTGTGATGTGTGTGTGTGTGTGAGAGAGATGTGTGTGTGTATGTGTGTGTGTGTGGT